GAGAGAGAGAGAGAGAGAGAGAGAGAGAGAGAAAGTGATGAGAGAGAAAGTGGTGGGCAGCGATAGCTACGGGCGGGAGTTCACGGGTGCGTGTTAACAGGGAGGGATTAGCCTGAGGAGAAAACGCATGCTTGATTTACTCATTTACCCTAAGCTTTTATCAGAATGACAATATTACTTTCATAAAATCTCACCGATAGCTCTAATTTTCATCTCTACCAAAATCTCTTCTACTTCTCATGTTTAAGCCCCCAATTATATTTTTGTGTTTTTTTTTTGATAAATTTAATTTTTTTTATTTTACAAAATACCAAACCAGTCTTACCTCTGGCGACCCTCTCTACAAACAAAACAAATTTTTATTTTTTAATATTATGAATTATTTTACAATTGCATCAATTTTTTTTTAACTTGAAAAATGATTAATCAAAATTTATACCACTATTATTAATAGATTATTATTATTATTATTTATTTTTTATTAATAAAATTTATCAAAATACTTGTAAAAGATAAATCATTGAACAATTAATATATTGTTGTTGTTGTTATTAAAACTTGCATATAAAGTCACAAAAAAAATAAATAGAAATGAGTCAAATGACTAAAAAATGGGTTTGGCATTCAGTAAAACAAAATACAGAAAATTCTCAAAAGAACAAAAAAACTTATTGGGTGGCTAACCATCTCAAAGTTTCAAACTTTAAAGTACAAGAGATTTTGGAAAATCGATGGTTTAATAGGGATAAAAATTATCAGGAGGGGGTTGTATGTCAATTCCCTAAAATCTCACAAGCAAATGTTTATACAAAACACAAACTTTATAATGCAGAAGCAAGACATACCTTGGAAAACTCTCTAATTGGTTATCTCGATAAAATTAGTGCATCTTGTGACACATTATGCAGTATGTTGATTTACAAGCGTTGAAAAATCTACTTGATCACGACTCTTTTATGACTTTAAATTTTATAATTAAAAATAAAAATAGATTACAATCATCGTAAAGATTTCCCACCACCTAATTTGCATATTCCAACAAGATTTGGACGTGCACCATACTTGGATTGTTAAGGTTGACACCTTATACAAACTACACCCATCAATTTATAGTTTATTAGCTTATTTTATTGACGGGAGGTGCATTATATAAGGTCATGGCTTCGTAAATCCTATCTCAAAACTTGCCCAAAAAAAATGCAGTCTTGATGCCAGAAAACTTTCAAATGGATCGTCACCTCTTCAACAAAAAAAATTGATGCCCATAAAATAATGATTTCTAACCCCTCAAAGTGGTCCATTTTACTCTACGTTTTCTGTACAAGCTTTAAATTACATGAGGACCCAATTGCTATGTGGCCAAGCCTGCATATATAAAAATGCAGGCCTCTTAATAAATCCATTTTTGAGATGGATTTTAAGACTTAATTTTGAAGAACATGCAATCTTTAATATGGAGGTTATTGAATATAAAAAAAATTAAAATCTAAATATAATAATTCTAGTAAGAAAACATTTGGACCATTAGTTTCTATTGTTTTTAGATGAAACACCTACCTGTATTCATCTTTAAAATGGACGCTTTACACTTTTTGAACAGCATATGTAGAAATGTAGTCAAGCACGTGTGAAACAATTTTCCATTACATAATGCAGAAATACATTTGCAAGCCATTACAAGATTTCTTGCACTCTATACAATTTTTCTCGCCATTGAAGTACAACTTTACCAAATTTCATGAGGCTGCAACCTCACCAAAATCTAATTTTGTGTTCGAAATTTTATCTTTGATTTTATCCGTTCATGTTATCTACATGTTGGGAATGAAAGATTTTCTTGTTTACAATTTTCCTAGTTTTTTATTTTTCTCTTAGTCAACATCAATGAGACACTAGTATAACCTAGAGCAGACGTTTTTGGGGCTTTGAACATTTTGCCTTTTTCTCACTGCAAAATGGTACGAAATAAACTTGATTCCACATTTGATTTGCATGGCAATATTTCATGTGAAAATTTTCTTCATATGGCTAGGTGTGGAAATATTTTCATATCAATTAGCTGTCAATTGGTGTGAAAATATGCACTAAGACAAATTGGTGCAAAAATATTTTCTTGTCTAACCGCATGAGAGAATTCTTTCACGTGAAATATTCATAAAAAATATTTTCACACAAAACAAAGTAAAAGAGATTGGAAAAATCCTGAAACTTACTCTTTCATTGATGTTTTTAGGGAATTGAAATGCAGCATTACAATCGTCCATCACTAACCAATCAAGCCCAAGCTCGATTCATTGCTTCTTATTTGATATGTGCCCCCATAAATTCTAAATATGGCATCCCAAGTAGGTTCCTTGTCTAAACCAAACTAAATTTAAATAATTTACAACCAGTTTCCTCTTATTTCGTGGGTGAGTTTAATTTGGATTTACTCTCCTTGAATGCATAAGTGACATACTATTTATACACAGGCACGCTATGCAAGTAATTACTAGTTGTGCATCAACAATCTATATTTATACAAGTTATACATATGGCTATTCCCTCTATCCAAAATTTTATATGTTTTAAAGTGTATATACTCAACCCTTATGTTTATACAATCTTATCAACAATAAATTGTTTTTGTGCACTTTCATATTTGAAAATGTCTTTATGTTTATGTTGAGAGTCATCGCCGATTCTCATACACACCGGATGGGACAGGCTGCCGGGAGCGGCGAAAGCTACCCCAAAAAAAGATCAAACAGTTTGGTCTCAAGGACCAACTTGGAATTGATAAACATTGTGTAAGTTTTTGGGTTTAGGCTAATTTATTAGGATAATGTTTGATTGATATGTTTCCTTGGTTAACCAAGAAATTAATGCTTGTTGGCTGGGATTTATTTGGTTAATTGGTTGGAACAGGTTTTCAAATTTGAAGGTGAATGTTGGAGGCTGAGTGCTTGCTATATTTTATTAGGAGCCAAAGACTTAGATATCGGTAAGATAGGAAGGGGTTAAAAGTAATTTAGGAGGTAGGTAACGTTTTAAGATAGGTAGTGGTTAAAGTAATATAGGGAAAAGTTCATATAAAGCCGAAGTTCTAAACAATCAAATTAGAGCTTACCTAAAAATTTCATTAGAAGATGTTTTTTTGATACTCAAATATCCACAAATTGATCATCTCAACATCAAGATGCATGGACATAAGAAAAAAATAGATTTCAAGTTTGAAAACAGTGTATTTTGTAACACATTTTTGGGCCATCAATTTTCAAAATTTTCAAGTTTTCATAGAAATCTACACTATTTTTTAAGCTTTAAACTTTATAAATAAAGATGGAAATATATTTGAAGGCTATCAAAAAGATTTCCAGTATTGAAACCACATTTCTCAACACTATTTGTAGGTAGGCTCTAATTTGATTGTTTAGAGCCTAGGCTCTATGCAAACCATACCCACACACACATATATATATATATATATATTTGACGGGTCTTTGTAATAGTGTGTTTTCTTTAAATTTGTATGAACGAATATAAGGGTATGTTTGGATGATTTTTTTTTTTTTTTATGTGGAGTATACTCATCATCATCATCATTAGAGTTTTTTTCCAACTATTTGAGGTCGACTACACGAATCTTGGTTCGTAATTCTACTCTATCAAGGGTTATACCTTGAATGAAGACATACATCCCCATATTTTTCTCACTACTTTCAACAATATCCTTTTAGGCTTATCCCCTTGTGCCTTCCACTTGAACTAACTCGCACCTCCTAATCGATGATGTATTGGGTTTGCACTATATATGGCCAGCCCACCTAAGTCTACTTTCTCTCATCTTATCGCCTATTGAAGCCACACCTAAGTTCTCCCAAATGTATTTATTTAAGATCCATTCTTGTTTTGCCACTCATCCATCTCAATATCGTCATCTTAGCTATACTCATCATATGGGTATGTTGTTCATTGACCCGCTAACATGCGACAAAGTAAAGCTGGTCTCACAACTGCCCTATAGAACTTGTCATTCAACTTCATTGGTATGCGACTATCACATAAAACTTCAATTGTACATCTTCACTTCGTTCATGCAGCTCTAATTATGTGTGTAACACTTTCCTATATTTCTCAATTTTCCTAATTACCAATCTGAGATATCAAAAGTGCATTCTTTTTGGTATTTTTTGGCCTTCAGTCTTAACTACTTCCTTGTCTCTACTCCTATTATTATTAAACTTATATTCCATATACTATGTCTTAGTTCCGCTTATTTCAAATATTCTAGAGTATATTATTTTATCTAAAATTAATATACTATGTAAAATACAATTTTGTTAGTTTTTTAGTACATACTTAGTATAACTTATAATACTTTTTAATTATTTAAATTTTT